GAAACGGAAGTTCCCTTTCGGACGGTATGGCAGATATTCCGTCACAACCTAGCGAGATAGGTAGCTGAGTAGCTAGATGGGCAGCTAGGTGGACTTGGTTAAGTTTTGTTTAATAGTTTGACGGAATAGGGGGATTGACCCACATGCGGGCCCAGTGCGGATTGAATGGGTAGGACAATTTTGTGGATGGAATAGGGAGATACCATGACACAACACGCGGCTGGTCCCAGTACGGATTGGTTGGTACGATAAGGTTTTATTAGGAAATAAGGGGATCGAGCCATGACCCATCACGTGGCCCCAGTGCAGATTAGTAGGTATGAGACTAATGATACTTTTTTAAGGAAGAGGGATAAGTGGGCAACTACGCGGCTCCAGTGCGGATTTTTAACTTCTTTCCAACCGAGTGTTTCACGACACTCACGTTTGCTTTTTATGGTATAAAATTGGACAATAAAAGTTTTATCGAAAAAGTATTATTAATATAACTTATAAAAATTCAGACTAAAGTAAGTATGGCATTCTTTAAAAATCTTAATTGTGTGGTGTGGATGATTTTATAATTTATGGTCACGTAAGTATATCTCACCTACCGTACGGCGACTTAAAATTTTGAGCCTTTATGAATGAAAATGTAAATCCATTTCCTTGCTTGCTTAGTTCATTGACACTTTTATTATTATGCACGTAGATTTATGAAAACAAATAAAGATACGTGATTTGATTTTAAGCTGCTAGATTTTCAATACAGACACTTAGTAGCAAAAGCTTGAGTGCCAGTACTGTCATAGTAGGCTATTGCCTACTATTTTTACTAAACATCGATGAAAGTGAAAATTTTCAAATCAATAAGGCTGACGTTTTAACTACCTTTTTACTCTTGGGCTGCATCTTACATGCTATTTCTACCAATCCCGCAAGGTTAATGTGTAGTTTAGTAGGGTTGCAAAGAACGTTACGAGAAACATCGATGTATAAAATAAATATCCCTGTATCGTGACGTCCACTTTCTTGTATGGAAGCTGTGATTTGATTCCTACAATTCTTTTTTATTTCACCGAACTAGTAAGAATATAACGTTCGGCTCTTATAAATAGTAATTTTCGAACGTCGAACAACGTTTAGGTAAAACTATTCGCTCAATAGAATTCGTGAAATCTAAATCTAACATAGTAATGCAGATTTAGTGTTACAGTGATGTGCCTGGCATACGAACGCTGGGAGCGTTCCCACGCGCCCACCTCCGCACTATTATGTTCTAATCTCTTGTAGTCTTTCCATTATTATGATGCTGTGAAAGTACGCCATACGTTTTGCAAGCGGGAAGCGAATGAATGCGGAATTCGACAGAACACAGACAATCTGATGATAGATCTTAATCTTATTTAATTACAATTAAGTATAAACGCATAAATTATTATAAGTACGAAAATATTCGTAAAAATAGCAAATAAAATAGATAAATTTTATTTCATAACTATTATTTGTTTTCCAGGTAAGTAAATATTAGATTCTACTTTGCCTATGTTATATATTTTGTGAATGACCTAAAGTTTCTTTTATACTTCCTTGTACTGTTGTTCATCATATTACGTGTCAGACTATGTCGCGACAAGTTTGTACGTGATGTGGTATCTACAAAACTAATACACAGATTATCTGCTAACTATGTATTATATATATGACTTTTTATCACGGTAGTGGGTGCTGTACTGCTCGATTACCTGTACCGCTATTTTTTCTGTTATAGGTATATAATATTAAGGAATTTAAAACTTATTTATAAATAGGTATCTACGTAAGTCATAAGCTAAGTAGCGGTGTAGTTTACCAATGCAACGACGAGAATATATCGATTTCTGCATGAGCCACCCGATTACACCTTGATTACCGAATTTTCTCGAGGTTTATAGTAGATTTTCAAAAAAAAAATCTTGCCTTGATTCGATTGGGTCTCAATGAGAGTCGCAATCACAATAGAGTTTTTAGGTAAAGGTGACTACATAGCGCCATCCATTATGACTACATAGCTCTTAAAATCTGAAAAATCCGTCTCAAAATATATATATATATTTAGTTATACCTACATATATAAATAAATATAATGACAGATCCTATTAATATATTTATTGTTATAATTACGAAAGTTACTATGGCGCCATTCATTTATTACGCAAGACTATTTTCGGTAATTTTTGATCTCCTTGCCCCGCTATTATAAGAAAAAATCGCCCCCCTCCCCCCTGTTAAATATTCAATACGTAAGAATCTAAAGGCAAAAATTAATACACGTTTGTTTTAATGTCTATTTTTCAAAGTAACATTTATTTTTGAAATTGCGCAGTGCGAGTGGCGCAGGTCAGTTGCCATGGAAATGGAAATAATTTACCTATACGCATCCGAGTGAATCTCGGCATTTGCTCGGTTGCCCGCGCTTTTTCAAAATATAATTTTATCTTTGTGCATTTTTGTGATCCTACGTAAGAACTATCGAGACTCCCTCCCGTTTCCTTGTAGGAAAATATAAGACATGTCGACGCCCCTCCCCTCCTAAATCGTCTTACGTAATAAATTAATGGCCCTTATGGATGTTTGTAACTCTTTCACGCTAAAACCACTGAATGGTTTTGAATGAAATTTGGCATATGTATATATGTATATCACCTATACTGACTCTTATGTTACTTTTTATCGCAGTTAGTTGTTAGGTTAAAAAAATAAGTTTAAATTTAGTGCTGACGAATATGTATAAAGTTTGAATTTCGATAGCCTTGTATGTTTATTGGGTCTAGTGAAAATATTTAATTAGGCAAGTAGTACTTACTAACCTACTTACGTCAGATACTATTTAAAATACAAATACTTATTGCAGATGGCTGAAGATGAGTGTCCGTGAGTATCCTCTAAATTTAAAGTTTCGAAAACGAGTGGTGTTAATTTTATCCGTAACAGTTTACGGTAGAGACACCAAGAAATAATTTCACCTTTACTTAATAAGTCATAACTGTGTATAATCCGCCTGGGAAACAGAAGTTTTATTTATGCTCTATATTTTATTTGGACCAACCGCTAGTTACAATTACACGGATAAACCACCTTGCTGTTTTATGCAAATCAGATAAAATTTTACATAAAAGTAAAGATGCTTTATGGAAATTCTTTAACAATTCTCGTTACCGGCATGTATTTCAATTACCCGTATTACATAAGTCAACACGAATTTGAGTGCGAGTTCTTTGTACCAGATTTTGATTTCTTATACCTTATTAAAGTAACAAACAATATTTTTATTTAAAAAAGTTTGCTTTTGTAGCTATCAGAATGAAATTTTAAATATCATAGAAAATTGCAAACTATATAACAAGAAAATAAACATTTATTTATTTATTACAATCGCTTTTATTTACTTAAAACAGTAAAACCAAGTCTATGAATACAAAAAGATATTGATTTAGTTTTAAATTGATATTATTAGGATTTCTTATTTTATTTTAGTCTGGAAATTCTGCGAAAAATGTTTTTAGAATAATTTTGACGCAAAAATTTTGTAACTACAAGACTATTTTTTTTTAATAGTTTTAAGACAACATAATCAAAGGCCCCATAACGAATAATAATATACCATACTTACCTACTTACATATATTTGTTACTGAAAATTTCAAATTTTGTATTTTTGTTCATGCAAATGGCGTTTGCGCCGATTATGTTATATTCATAAGGATTAGTATATTTCATTAAGGGTAGACAAGGCAATTTTCTGGGATAAATTTATTACTTTTTAAATTGGTAGTAAACACTTATTGTTATAAGGAGCCTGATGAAACTTACCTCTTTCCTTGCATAACATTAGGAAGGTAGAATAAAGTAGGTATCTATATTATTTTATTCGATCTCCATTGGAAGGTAACTTAGTTTCCTTTATAAGACATTAATTATAGAATAATGATCCGAGTATGAAAGTCTGAAATATGATATAAGAACATCGTGCAGTCACGTAGACGAAATTACCCGTTTTAAGATTTTAATTAATAAGTATTTTAAAATTTAGTTAAGGTAGGAACTAAATAACGGGACAAGAATATTTTCTATACTTCTACTACGTGGACCTAAAGAATGCATTTTTGATTGTGTACTCATAAAATATTATACTTTATTTAAATTTAATTAGATACGAAATATTACTCATTATATAAAAGGGCATACTTAGGTAAGTACGTATTAATTTTAATAAAACGTCCATCTGTTTCTAATTAGTCAGAGGTAAAAAAATAATATTATTATACATTATTGTAATTTCTCTAGATAATAGTATTACTAATTATGTAATTACCCTAAGCAGGTATCTTCGCGCTGCGATTTGAGGTGTAATTTTTTCCGCAACGCCATTGTTAATTGTGTAATATATTTATTTTAGTTTATATTATATTTCTAATTTGTCCCGAGATAAATGGACTATATCCTACTTGGAAAAACTAATTTAATATTGTATTATTAAAAGACTACCTACAATTTTAAAGGTAATTATTGCACATGTTTATTTGATATTGTTGAACTATTTCGTTTCAGTGAATCTAATTTTCATAACAAAAAAAACAAAAAATTGATTTACGCATAAATTATTACTTGCAACATATTTTTGAAGGAACTTGGAAGTTTGAACTAAAAGTATCAAATAATTTAAGTCTTCTAATTAACCTGCTGCAGTTATTATTAACTTATTTAATTAAATGTTACCTATTTCTATTTGTACTAACTAGCACGTAAAAGTGAATTATGTGTAAGTACCTACATTCCAGGTTGTATTTGAGAATATACTTTTAAAGAACAAAAAACAAAATCCTATCAAAATCCTCTTATAGGTTACAATTTTCACACTAACAAAACAGATAAACTTATTCAGTTCATTTTATAGTGTATTTAAGCGGCAAAATGCTATATTTTTAGATAATAATTTTGGATACAGAACATAAAAAATTAAAAAAATACAAATCGACTTACCCATCATTAAAGTTGTTTTGAAACACCACTGTATTTGTCTTTAAATATATCACTACACAGTTAAGTCACTATTATTATTTATAAACTATAAATTAATATTGATTGTAGATACTATAACTTATTATTTTGTAAATTATGCATCCGTTTTCAAAGACGCGAGCGCAATCAGCTGTTCGGAGCGGACGAATCGACACATGTCACCCCTCAAAGCGCTCTCTGCAGACTGGTTGCTGCTTGTTCGCCGCTCGGTCAATTCGTTCATTCCTTTTCGTCCGGTTGTTCGGCAGTCGAGCGCCGCCCGTCGTTTTTTTGTTCGCCGGATTTCGGAGTGGTGGTTTAGGCAGTTGTTTTGGAGAGGGTGGTTCCGTTTCCGTGCGCGTAGGTATAAAATGATTGTTTTTTGCTGCTTCCGATTTTTTTACTAGAAAGGTAGGTACTTTTATTTATGTAGTCCTTATAAATAAAAAAATGTGTTTGATATTAGAGTGAAACTTTTATTAAATCGTCGCAATTTTACTTTCACCTTTAATTTGGTGTTTTAAATTTTTAATTGTTATTTAAAAAATCAGACCTCGGGTATATTCCGTAATATATGCCAGTATACTAGCCAGTGCTAATGACGTCATGAATCGACGCTATACTGGTGAATTGTTCCGAAATATACTGGCCAGTGCACTGACGTCATAAATCGACGAAATATTAAAAATAGTGCGAATAAAGAAGATTTATTATTTACCTCATCAATTAAAAGGAATTCTTTTTGTACGGATGCCGTTATTGCTCTTTAAATAAAAAAGAAATAAAAATTGAATGCTTCTCACGCACTCTCGGTCAGACGTCATATTCGTTTTCCCGGTAAAGATATGATAGCTTACCAGTACACTATGGCGTCGGATTCGTGACGTCATTATCACTGGCCAGTATACTGATGTATATTTCGGAATACACCCCTCATCAACAAGCATCTCGGTGGGTCAGCAGTAGAAAGCTCGCCTGACACGCGATCATCCCAGCTGGAGCTGTGAATTGCATACTGTACCCCTACGAACCAATATCGAATTCGAATAGTATGCAAACCGAAATGTCAATGTCAAATTTTGTATGGCAACTTGAACAGCAGCGCCACTTTGGACGTAACGGGAACTAAAAATCAGTACACATTTGACAATGCCATTTCGGACTCGCAAACGAATCGAATTCGATATTGGTTCGTGCTAGGGGAACTGTTCACCGAAAGGAGAAAATTACCGATTACCAACGAAGGTGAAGTCTGAGGAGGGGTTTGGCGCAGCCAAGGGCCTTAATACACCCAAGTTGGGACTATTACTTTCTTTCGAGGGATACATGCGATGCATGCGAAGGAATAAAAGACAAATTCTTTAATTGAAATCTATATTAAAGTTGTTACAGTTACTAAACCTTTGCATGGGAGCTATAAATTGGTTTGTTGATTTTACGGTTTCTTAAAGACTGCTTAGGTAGTTTCTTATAATTCTGGCGGAGGTGTCAATATATCTGCATAATCAGTAATATACGCTAGAGTAGATAAGAAAATAAATTTAAAACTCAGTTAAAATAAAATAAATAATCAGCGCGCTTTTTATTTTTGTGGTTTAATGAAAATTCATTTTCGCTTATTTATACATTTTGACGTGACAACGTCTTAAATTAGGTTGCGGCTGGGAGTCACTTATGAAAAAGTGTAACGCTCGGTAACGTTACGATGAGTCTCTCGTGTTAAGTTTAAGTTTACATGTACAATGTTTTAGTAAACAAAATATATTTCTATAGTTAAAATTTGTGCAATTCTTATTTTCATTCAATTCCTTGTTCCTATTGTGCAATTTAATTATATTCATATCAATAAATATTCTACCGAGAAAAAGACGTTGTCACGTAAAATCTTCGCCCGTAAAACCGACTTTACAGGCAACCATTTTTTTCTTAAACTCGCGTTGTACGATTGTACGCAAGTTAAGAATAATAAAGCTACTGTAAGTTTGGACTGTTTCAATAAAGGTTTCTGTTTCTTTCCTTTTTTCTAGTTACAAAATTAACCGTATGTATCATAAACATTATATTATCATTATTTAGTGCTCACTTCGTATTACACAACATATTTTATTAATTCGTAAAACCAGCTAAATTATAAAATTTTATATAATTAAAGTATTTAAACACCTAAGCCAACGATTCTCTTCGAAATCTTTCTGAGGTGACACGCGTTTTGACAAATCTTTTTCAGTAAGATTTAGAAATGTCATCGCCATTGTATAATATTTCGTTTTCGTTAAATGCATAGGATTTTCGCCAAACTTCGATATATCAAATAATTTTTCGACACAAGGTCGGGGGAAAAGTTGCTTAATTCTTATTACGACTTTTTTCACTTTTTTATTCACAATTTCTATCGCAATTTTTCCTTTTTTTGAAGTTATACTTCTTTAGGCGCGTTATGAAAAAATGATGAGAGTGAAATTTTAAGATGCGCGCGCATCACTGTAACACAAAAAATTAACAGCATGAAGTTGGTGTTTACCGCACATTAAGAAAATCTACCAACAAATTAGAAATAGAATATCTATTTAGTGGGTGCTAACGACTGCATTGTGAAGGCCTATCAAAAGTATTTATTAATCTGGAACAACGGAACCAAAGCGCGATTCAGGAGACTACAGCGCCATCTCTTGACCATTGGTGTAGTAGGACCAAAAACCACATCTTTATTTTTTGTAATAAAGTAACAGTTATAGGTATTCATATTTATAATATTTATCCACATGTTTCTAGTTTGTATATTCGGAATACGTGTTTGAGTTTCATACAAGTACAAATCACATATGTTCTAATAAATTGTATTCAGTAGCGATTTTAATTGAATATTTTGATTATTTATTTATTTTTTCAAATTAAAACTGAACTTTAGTGACTGTGTCCTTTTCCAGACTTTTTATTAATTTATTGTAATTAATTATTTGCATGCAATTAAAAACTAATTTTAAACGATGCCAAAGAAGGATAACTTCCCACGCGCCTACATAAGTACACGCACCCATTTTTTTTATTAAACCTAAAATTGTTTGCATCGAATGTATCCGTAACTTAGAGGAAGGAAAAAAGTATTCCCATAATAATCCCAAAAACGCGCTTAACACAAAATGATGGGTACTGAGGATGGGTAGTATATTATCTGCAATGTTTGTAAAAATTACAAGTATTTATTACTATAGTGAAAGACTTATAGCATTTGCACTAATTGAATATAAAAAAAAACTTGGTTAATACTCATACAATACATAATGAATATCGTCTAAATCCGGTATGAATACAGATAAGAACTTTTTATTGACTACCAATTCATACTAACTATTGTCTTTTTAAAATTCTCACAGATTTATTTACTAGACTACAATGTAAAATTATGACATCTGTTGGCCATATGGTTTGTTTAACAATTGACCAGGTACTGTTGCTGATCATAAAGAACTAATATTCTATTGCTAACAAACAATATTTTGTTGGTAATCTCTTTCAGGTGTCCGAAGTTGGTCCAAGGTATTGAATGATTTTTGTTTTACTTTTTGTATGACAACGATAGATAAACAAGCATATGGCTCGTCTTCGTCTTTATATAAGGTAATACCAACAAGTTGGTTACATACATAACAGTTGTAGACCGTGTCATTATTTTTTATCATCAGCCGAAAGACGTCCACTGTTGGACATAGGCCTCCCCCATGGATTTCCACAACGATCGGTCCCATGCTGCCCGCATCCAGCGGCTTCCCGCGACCTTTACCAGATCGTCGGTCCACCTTGTGGGGGGCCTGCCAACACTGCGTTTCCCGGTACGCGGTCGCCACTCGAGGACCTTTCCGCCCCAGCGGCCATCGGTCCTGCGAGCAATGTGCCCTGCCCATTGCCACTTAAGGTTTGCAATTCTGTGGGCTATGTCGGTGACTTTAGTTCTCTTGCGTATCTCCTCATTTCTGATTCGATCACGCAGAGAAACTCCGAGCATAGCCCTCTCCATTGCCCTTTGGGTGACTTTGAGCCTTCTTACAAGACCCATTGTAAGCGGCCACGTCTCGGTTCCGTATGTCATCACTGGCAACACGCACGAATTGAAGACTTTCGTCTTGAGGCACTGCGGTAGATGTTCCGAGAAGATGCTACGTAGCTTCCCGTAGACCGTGTAGATAGATTTATTTGTTGGGCACACAGACGTCAAATAACTTTGAACTTGAAGTAAAATTTTTGTTTCACCACTTTTTAGATTTCAAGGTAAATAAAAAACGTTCTCGATTTTTCTAATATAAAACAGGAAAAGTTAAGTTACAGTGCAAAAGAAAAAAGTTTTTTCTCAAGAGCTACCCACTATGTCTGCGTGTAGGTATTTGATCTACTAACGAAGTACTACGAGTATGACCGTTAGAGGATTTCGGTGGAATATTTGTATGCCAGCGTCAGTTTCTCAGACCTAGCATTCGACCGATAGTGATGATATATCTGCGGCTTTATAGCATTTTCACATTTTTTTAAAACAGCTCATCAGTTTTGCCGTCGGCATAGTGGTAGAAGGTAGAAGTCATTAGGATTACGTTTTGGCGCTAAAACAGACTTAGTTAAATAATTATGTAATTATTACAATCATTCATCATTACGGTTATTATAATTGACGTAATAACAAATGGAAATACTCGCCAAAATACCTTCAGTGTAGGTAGGTACGTACGTAATTTAAGAGGGGCTTTAATTATTAAACTAGAAATAGGCAAATTTTATTTTTTGACAGACGGTGCGGTATTTGTGTATCTATGTAGTAGGATAAATTTCACGGTGTGTTCAAGCAGAAAGTTGACGGGTTTCCAACTGGGCATCCGTCAACACATGGCCGGGCCAGCGCCGGCAGGTGCGCGCCAGGGGGCGCTAATTCGGCCAATATTTATTTCAAAATGGCGCAGGCGCCGACACAAATCGTGGGTCATTAGGAGAGTCATTTGCCGAGGTGGCTTTCGTAATGCGACTAACACTTTGCAAGCACAAGATAGATGTATGATACCTACGGGAGGTATAACCTTTTTCGATTCGCAAAAAATATCCTCACATGACACAAAATAGGGACTGTAAGTATGGGTTCGCTTTAGAATGCTTTTTAAGTTGTTTAACTACAGCTACAACTTTGTTGTATACTAAGTGTAATTTTTAGAGAGAGAGAGAGAGTAGGTACTTGTCCACTCGTAAAGTAACTAGGTTGTATATAACCAACACCCATAATAATAAGCTTTTAAAAAACATTATAGCGTAGTTACAAGATGTGTGGTTAGTAATAATCAGTGCCGTCTTTGACCTATTGGAGGCTCTGGGCATATTAGGAT